CCATTGTTAAGCCCAGTTCACATTCGACGGGGCGCAACGGGACGCGACATAAGGATCGACGGGAAACGCCGGGACGGTCACCCCGTCACGGACTGTGCCTTATGACTCGCACCATTCGCTGTTGAACATCGCAAAGACTGGAGCATGTCGTGTCGTATGAATTGTACAAGATTTTACAGCTCACCCCAGCCGTCACAGGCCCTTACGTCCCGTACCGTCAGCGTTGCATCGAAAGAGAACTTGGCTTTAGAAAGATTACGTGTTGGTATGTGCTCCTACTTACACACAAAATTTAATATACAAAAGGTCAGTGTCAGCAAGTACATGTAGTACAATTATTTGTTCCCAAAATAACTCCAGAACAGTCTGTTCATTGTTTTCATTTGTATTGGACTCGTTCTCTACACTTGCGATAATATAGCGGCAATTCTAATGTTGTAGCGTTGTTCTCTTGTAATTTAGTGGAACCTGTATTGAGTAACTGAGTTTTATGTTTCGTTACATTGTCGACAGATCTCCTGTGTACCGGTTTTGTGGCACAATGATTATAGCGATTTGTCGTCTCCATTCTTGTGCAATCATGCATATGTAGGTTGGTTCTCTTCATGTTCATGTTATTGTGAATGTGGTCTTGGAAAGACCAACAATGTCTGCAACCAGCTTGTCAGGTGACGTAGATTGTCGCATGCGTAGCACTCGATGCACGACTGATGAAGTTATGCGCCCAGTATGTACAGCATGCCATTCTTCGCTGAGGTGCTGTTCCCTTGTCCTCTCCTCTAAGAGAGCCAAGTCACGCTCAGCCATCCTTTCTCCATCTAATACTCTGTCATACGCACTGGTCAGGGTTGACTCGTCAATGTCAGGAGTTTCCTTTTCAGCAGGACCAGCCAACTCATACAGCCGATTCCAGCGAGCACTCGCACCATCATTGGTAGACGGCATAGCTGGCATGGCTGTGACCTCTGCGCTGGGAACCAATTCAATGCAGTCAAAAGCCATATCGTTAGTCAGGCTCACTGGAGCAGGCGGTGTGCAAGGAGGCGGTGCGCAGTCATAAAGATGCCTTAGAAACCCACAGTCCCATACAGCACCTGCAATGGCATGCTTCAGCTGGAAAAGAGCTGTCGGGTCTACTTTCCGGAGATCAGGATGCCTCGGGTCATATCTTGAGGATCCTTCCCGCTCCCACCGGTTCTTCTTCCGCCGGTTCCGGGCTCCTGGAAAGGCTTTTGCTATTGTGACGCCAGCCAACGGCTTTGGTTCCACCTTTTGGGACGCTGGTTTGCACCACTTGCAAATTATGTCTGTCACGGAAGGTCAAGACAAACTCCGCATGGCACGGCTGCAAAAATCATCCAGCGCAAACAGCAAAGCCGCGACATGTGAACAGCACTCTCCTAAACCTGAAACGCACTGGCAGTATCCACCGTAGCACACTGGATCGTCCCTGCTGATGCAGACGATACACGTGTAGGCTTGCTTTGATGCATCTTGTGATGGCCAGCATTTTGCACGGACGAAATAAAAGTTTGTTCCACCTGCAAACAGGTTTCCCTCCAAAGTGTGAAGGTGGTGCTCATCAAATAATTGGTACGCACGAAGTTGCTTGTAGCACTGCAAGCTCTCCTTGTCATAATCGTTGTCCGGAGAATTTAACAGATAGTTCTTGACAGCCTCAGTAATGAAGAAAAGGATTTCAGTTAGGTGAGATACAGACCAGCCAGATGTTATGTGTGAAAAGCTTGGTGGCTTCTTGTACGCTGCCATTACTGGCTCTGGTAATGCAGGCTTGTCTGCCTCCTCGTCTGGAACACCGTAAGGCTTCGCCAGCAGTACTCAAGTGGAAATGATCACAGATGAGAAGGTAAAGATCACGTCTGGATACACGCCCTTGGTAGGGAATATTGAAGTCTTTGCAAAGTTGGCGCAGCCCTTGCATGCGTAAGCGCATGATATCCCCACAAGAGGTGGGAGCGCGCAAGACAGAGCTGGACAGAAGTGAACCCCTGGCCCCTTCAGTAGCAGCATCAGCTGCTGTTTGCACTGGCCCAGAAATAGCAGTGAGTTTTACAGCAGGTTCAGGTTTTTACAGTGCCGTTTCTATGGTTGTAGCCAATGAGCGACGTTCCCGCGGTGGCCTTGATGAGCCGATAAAGGCCCGCACGCTGTCAGCCTAGCTCTACAGTGCAGGGCTCTGCGTCAGTTTTCCGTTGCCATCTCAGTTCATCTCAGGACCCGAAGTTGGCTTTGGAGGAGAGTAGATCTAGACTAGAGTAAGTACATGGTTGAAACCGGGTCTACACTCTACTTGTAGATTGGGCATGCCTGTAGACATGACCTCATGCTCAGTTCTGTTCATTGATGTAATAAACATACAGGTACTATGATGTAAGGTAGCAAAGGTGGCTACATGTAGTAGTTCTTCACAAGCTAATGGCGGTAAATGTTGACATTCTTCTTCTTCAAGGCCAAGGGAAAAATGGCAAGAGACCTCCACCCCTAGGTGGTATCGCGCTTATATACAGTCTACGAGTACGAGCATCAAAGGACGACTTAACCTGAGGAGTAAATAATTGGATAAAAATGGCAAGAGATACGGCCACCACGTCCCCGACCTCCACCCCTAGGTGGTATCGCGCTTATACAGTTTCAAAGAATGCCAGTGAAAACATAACCATGACTCCGATTATCGATGAGCGTACGGCCAGGCAGGCCCAAGGCCCGGGCGCTGGCCAAGGCACGTAGCACAGTAAATCTACGCACGAGGCCTTCATGTACTGATCAGGGGCGTCACCGGACCCCTTCACAGGGGGGGGGGGGGGGGTGCACAGGAAATGTGCACAGGAAAACACGAAAAAGTTCGCTGATAGCAGGCCCGTCGCACCGACTTTGGAGGTGGGGCGGCCATGGGGTACGGGGGCCTTAGGCCTTGACGGATTATGCTAGCATAATTTTTCGCATAATTCCTACCAAAATCGAATCATCGCATAATTCGAGGCAAATTGCATACGAATCGCATAAAATTGTAATAATCCGCCTGTTCGCATCAACTTCCATACAGTTGTACATGTTCTACAAGTACAAGTAGATGCACAAGGAAGTTGTAGGTATCTCCCTTGATAACATGTCCAGTCCACTACAATCAGTGATGGTCGTAGCTTGGTCGGACGGTGCGTTGACCCCGTTGAACTTTTGCTACTACAGTACAACGCCCTCTACAAAAAAATTCCCCTGTTGTTTTCCACAGAACCATTATGCATTAGCAGCATATGTGAGCATAATGCGGCATAATATGATAACTTTTAGCATAAAATAGCATAATTCTGCAATTTTTTCAGCAATGCGAAAAGCATAATTTCACGAAAATATTAGCATAATCCGTCAAGGCCTAGGGGGCCTTCCCCGGGGAAAAATTTCAAAAATTAAAGCCAATTGCAAGCATTCCGGGCATTTGGTGCCATTTCAGTGTAACTTTTTTTTCTTTTTTTTTAAATGTTTATTTGAATTCGGATAGCTCAACAGTACAGAAGTACACCTACAAAAAGAACTAAAATGAAAGACTTTTTGATTCTGCAACAAGCCAAGAAGACGCTACGATCGGGGACAAGAATTCTTCATTATCCTCCCCCGGGAAAAAATTTCAAAAATTGAAGTCAGTTGCAAGCATTTTCAGGCATTTGGTGCCATTTCAGTGTAACTAGTGTAACTAATCTACGAGTCGTACTGCCTACTGCCTTACTGGTCATGTACATGCATTCGCTACATGCACTCACGCCGAGTCACGCGATCGCGGCAGCACAGTACAACTAGTTTTGGTGCATGCAGTTTTTGTAGTAGATTCTACCAGCAATACACTTTTCATTATAGCAATAAAAACTGCTTTATGGCAGTTTTCTAAAAACAGTTATTGTGTTCTAGTCCATGGACCCCGTCTAAAAAGTAAGAAATTAACGAAATGTGATTGCTGAAAATTAAAATTTCACACAAAACCTCACAATAATCACAACACTTGAAATGCTGCTTTCAACTTTAACTTGTACTGCACCAACAATTGGCAACATGCATGCATAGGAAAGAGGATCACGAGGGGAAAAGGTCTTCTACATGTAGCTTTTAATTCTGTGTGTGATTATTGTGAGGTTTTGTGTGAAATTTTAATTTTCAGCAATCACATTTCGTTAATTTCTTACTTTTTAGACGGGGTCCATGGACTAGAACACAATAACTGTTTTTAGAAAACTGCCATAAAGCAGTTTTTATTGCTATAATTTCTTTTGTTTTTTCTGTCACCAATCAATGGAATGCCCTATATCAATATGTAAATGATGGCCTTCACATCATATCAAGAGGTTTATTAAGGGCGCGTTTGGTTGGTACGAACTAGAACAGGATTCAACAGAACAGCGCGTTTGGTTGGGACTGCACCTGTTCTGGGTCGGCCAGAACATGTTCTGCTTGCTCCGGCCTCGAGGCCAGAGCAGACCGAGCAGTTTCACTTTTTCACAGTGAAACCTGGCGGGAATATCGATTTTGGTCCCAAATGATCACGTGCATACGCTTTTGGGTTGGACTCGTCGTACCGTACACAGTAACCATGGTGACCCATACACATTTTGAAGAATTCACCAAGTTTGGCATATTTTTCACAAAAATATGCTCTGTTTCTGGAGTACCGTTTGGTTGGCATGAGGCTGCTCCGTGTGCACCAGCTGTTCGATCCTGTTCTAGATCGTAACAACCAAACGCACCCTGACTCTTGATCATATCAATACCGTATTATACGCATTGATGTGCAAGCCTTTTCTTGCAGAAAATGGCACTAACATAATGCATGTTCTTCTGCGGGGAAACATGCGAGTAGTGGTGGTGATACTTTTTTATACGGAGGTCATTCTGTGCATGTTCAATTGTTGCTGTTGCAGAATTTCATGACTCTTTGTCTTGCCTTTCAGATATTTCAGATTTCCCCACCCTCGATCAGATTTATTTGAGAAATGTAGCCATGCGCCAGGTGCGTGTCGCAGATGTTTTTGTTGATTCTGTGTTTATAATGGTTTATAATCATGGGTTATCGTGATAAGATCATCCAGCATCATATTGCACTGAAATCGTAATCCTGTTGATGTCGATACAACTTTTGGAAGTAGTTCAATGACTTCAAACTGTTAGTCCACGATTTTCTAAAACAACACAGCAAAGGAGGAACAATAAACATGTATTAAAATGTAAACAAATACATTGCTGAGTCCGACACCTCGTTCCATAAACTACACTGATCATGAGGATAAAAGGGTCAAGGCTATGGTTGGAGGTACTGATACTGAGAGATAAACAAGCGCTCCATGATAATAAAATCTTACACATCTTTTGGTGAGTATGAATGATATCCAGTCGAACCTCTTTAGGACGAACACCAAGGGACCGATGGTATTTATTCTGTGAGTTTGTCTTAGCCAATTTTATAACCAGTGAATACAATTATTTCTCCAATAGACATACGAATAGATTTCTTCTGCAGCGAAAGATTCTAAGCCACACGGACTCATTGACTCGTCTCGTATGAAACAAAAGAGTCACTAGAGAGGTTCTGCAAAATGAAAATGCGTACAAACTTTCGCTCTACATCATGAAGTGCGAAACTTCGCACCAACTTTCGCAACTTTGGACGCAAAACTTGCAGGGAACGCGAAATGAACTGTCGTAGGAAATTTCGTGAGATCGGGTCATGTCGTACGTGCACTTGGCCCGCGCAAACTACGAAAATGTGCAGAACGCAAAGTTTGTGCAAAAATTCGTACACACTTTCGGAAGGACTGTCGCGAAACTTCGTTCGAATTTTCGTTTTGCAGAACCTCTCTACTGAACCTTTCTTTAGCAACATGACGGCAACTGAAACAGCAACAGAGAAAGTACGATACATGTACTGCACATTCTTGCAGGTACTACAAACAGATTGCAGATCGTAATTCTTGCTTTGGCGGCACGAAACTTTATTTGGGGCAGTGCAATCTCGGCGGTACTCACAAATCAAACAGCCCAGACTCGAGTTAACAAATCCAATCATACAAGTACGAGATTTTCACGAGACGAGACTGCACCCATTGGCTTGTTTCGTATGAAGCAAACAAGTTACTGAACCTCTCCACAATGGAGATTTTCCCTGATATGCGAATTTTTTTGGCAAACTCGGTCAATGAGTCCTTGAACCTTTCCCTCCAGATTAGTATTTCGACAACACATCTAACATAAGCCTTACCGTCAAGAAGGTGAACTCGCGTTCTTCGCACACTGTAGGCAAGGGCAAAGAGAAATCAGCACACGTTTCCGTAAATGAAAGGGTGAGCATAAGCAAATGAATCGAAGGAAACTGGTCAACTCAGAGATCACCTGTCATTGAGTATTCCGTAAAAGGAGGCCTAGGCAGCGGAAAAGCTAAATTTAGAAAGGAGATCCTGTCAGCTTTTCCATTATTTATTGCATTCCGCCCAAAATCAGCACACTTTTCGTAAATGAAAGAGTCAACACAAGCAAATGAATCAAAGGGAACTGGTCAACTCACCTGTCATTGAGTAATATTCCGCGAAAGGAGGTCTCAGCAGCGCCGAAACGAAATAAGCCAGGCCAGAAGACGAAATATCCGAAACAGCTCATGCAAGAAGCAGTTCCAAAGAAGGAAGTTCCTCGTGCATGCACATCCGAAAAGGCAACAACAAAAAGTCTGCAATGAACACGCATGCGGCCAGCCGGCCGCGCGATAGTTGGAGCCATGTACTAGGGAGGTTCTGCTATACGTGAAACGTAGAGAAATCACGTAGAGAGCAGGTGTCTGGGTTAGAGTCTACGGCTTCGCGTGTTTTGGCTCCAGATTTCTACGCGGAGATGGGGTTCTCTACGTTGTGGCACACGCAGAGAAATGCGTACGGATTTGCTGGGTATCGATCAACTGCATGCAGAAAACTGCCAAATATGGAAGGGGAAATTCCCAGTACACATTCCACGTGACTTCTCTAGGTGAAACGTAGAGCAGAACAGCATTTCTTTACGTTACGGGAACGCGAAGAAAGTTCGCGTGATTCTTTGCGTCGCGTTCCCAAAACGTAGAGCAGAACCTCCCTACTGTAGCTCCCTGGTTCAGGACCAGGTACCGAGCATCTTACGTAGAAACTTACGTAGCTACGTAGACAACGTGTCTGAATAGCGGTGTCGTTAGGTAGCGCCATTTGAACACAGGATCGCTTTTCTAAATATCCGCAGCCTACAAGTAAGTTACAACGCTTTGCGCTGGTGGCTGTCGCGTGCGCGCACTCCTGGTTGCCATGGTGCAAAAACTGCCGCCCCCTAGCGTCCCTTTAAGCTTTAGTCCTTCGCGTTCGGAAAAAGCTCACTTTGCCGAAAATATTTTTCGGATGAATTTTCTGTAGAAGAGCGCCAGCGCGTGATTTATTCAAAGAGATTTCTTATCTCGGCATCGCTTCCCAGGCGTCTTTGGCGACATCAGCGTCGTCAGCTACCTCTGATTGCTCCTCCACTGCTTGTCTACTCTCTTTCGCCTGGAGTGTCCTCACCGTCATCTGTGTGGCTGAAAAGACTATGGCGATACTCATAAAATTTGACTTGGCCATGGAGTTGGTTTTTCTGAGGCGACTGAGGAGACAGGTCTGGCCCTTGGCTCTTAGGGCGATCAAAGTTCGTTGGAATCAGCAAGAATAGGAGCACGGGACAGGACGTTGCTGATGCCAGGGCTCACGAAATGAAAACACATCATTTTCGACTTGCAAAACAAACGTTGGTGCGAAAATTCGACATTTTGATGTTCGACAAATGACCGAAGAGCGCCGAACCGAAATTCGGAATGCAAAACCTCACTATTCTGAAAAGGCTACTTTCGGCGAATTTTTCGGCCGGCCGATATGGGAAAGGCCTACTTGCCAACATTCAACGCTTGGCCGACACGTACTCTGATGATCTGCCAAGCTCTTCAACTATATCAACTGACATCCGAAAGTGGGTCAGAAAATGGAAGGACGCAGCAGAGAAGTCTCGTGCACTTCCAGCAGCGATAATCACGACACTTGAAGATCTAATAGTACGGCACTTTTTTATTCCGACACTTGTACTTGTACAAGTACCTGTACTGCGCCAACATGCTTGCATGTGAAAGAGGACCACGAGGGGAAAAGGTCGTCTCGCATCCTGTGTGTGATTATTGTGAGGTTTTGTGTGAAATTTTAATTTTCGGCTATCACATTTCGTTAATTTGTTACTTTTTAGACGGGGTCCATAGACACAATAACTTTTTTTAGAAAACTGCCATAAAGCAGTTTTTATTGCTATAATTTCTTTTGTTTTTTTGGCTTAAGGATATTATTATTATTATTATTTTGAATTGTTTGCAGGCAACCTGCCTACACTCAAGAGAGCACTGCATTTCACACAAATCCATTGGTATCGTTACAACGTTTCGGTCTTTATGACCATCATCAGGAATGAAGTGGACATGGAAAGAACAGCAGTATAAAAGAAGGAGGCAAGCAAGCAAAGCGCGGTACATAGTGACAGCGCGCGTAGAGAAGTGCAAAGCACGTCATGGCGGGTGTGCATTACTACATATACATGACAACACAAGCACAAACGGCGAGGAAAGTAGATACTGCGCTACAGCAGTGATAACAGCCCAGTTCCAGTCTCACACCACCAGTGAGGTGTGTAGAGCCCCGCGCCACTCGCAGTAAGGTGGTGTTATAGCAGATCCCAGCCACTGTTATTGTTAATTTCCGGGGATCGCTCCCTGATATTGATGGCCTCCCGGATCCTCCTCCTGGGGCGGTCACGCTCAGAACCGAGAACCCGGATACCTGAGAAAGCCGTTGCTCCCAGTGGCAATGGGTCAGATGCATGCTTGGCCGCGAAATGCTCACCCAGCGCGGTGCCGCTCACTGTGTTGCGTGCGTCGTCGTTGTGTTCTTTTGTCCTGGTAGCGAGGCTGCGGTACGTCTCTCCGACATATTTATCACCACATTTACACTCGAGGTGGTATACAACATTACGCTCCGTGCATGCCCCTGAACCGGACATGCAGGCGACACAAGCAGCTTTGGGCCGCCCCCGTTTACGGGGCCTGGACGGGTCTACATACCTGCGGCATGGTGGTTTGCGGAGGGCAGACGTGCAAATCATAGAACTTAGACGGCGGTTCCTGTAAATCAGCTGGGCATTTATCTTGTACTTCTGGAGTAATTTATGAATTTTGTTGTGGATATACTCGGTGTGAAACGGTAGGTTGAGGGTGACACGGTATTCATTCTGCACTCTGACACGTCGGGGGCGCATAGCTCGTTCACGTGCCGAAACTATAACTGACTCTGGGAAGTTGTTGAATTTTAGGATGTTGGTTACTTTTTCTTCACTTCTTTTTAGGGTGTCGGCATCGGAGGATAGGCGGACGGCACGCAGGAACTCAGAGGAAGCAATTGCTTTCTTTTGCTGGTTGGGAACTGACGAGTTGTAGTCTGATACCAGTCCGCTGTGACATGGCTTGCGGTATAGTTCATAGGATATAGATCCATCTGGTGAGACATGGACGGTCGTGTCCATGAAATTGATTGAGCCAGTCAACTCCGTGGATTGGTGAGTGAATTTAATATTAGGATCGGCATTATTGAAGTGATCTAGGAAACTCTGCAGAAGTTCCGGACCGAGGTTCCACACAATGAAAACATCATCGATGTAGCGCTTGTACAGAACTGGGCTGGCAGGTGCACTACGCAAGAGCGAACTCTCTAGGTCATGCATGTACAGGATGGCAAAGGGGGGCGCTAGGTTATTGCCCATAGCCACACCATCCTTCTGGTGGTACACCTGCGCTCCAAACCGGAAGTAGTTGGAGCTCAGCACATGTGCGAGGAGCTCCTTGACCTGCCCAATTCGGAAACCGAACAGATCGATGCTGCCCCCGTGTTGTCGGAGGACTCTCATGACTGCTGCAATGCCATCGTTAATCGGGATGCTAGGGTAAAGGGCCACCACATCCATAGTCACAATGATGGTGCCGGGCGGGGCCTTGAGGTTGGGAAACGCGCTCCTCATACACTGGAGTGCTTCAACAGTGTTCTCCAGGTGTGCTGGCACGAACTGGAGACATTGATTGAGGATGCGTTCGAGGACTATGGAGATGTTTGTAACTGGGCTGCAGCAGGCCGCAACGACTGGTCTGAGAGGAATATTGGACTTGTGGTCTTTTGGAAGACCGTACATTTCAGGGAAGCTGTTGTCACCCGGCATCACGGCTGTGTATAAATCCTTTTCCAAGGATCCCTCGCAAACTCGGCGGAGTATCTTTCGGGTCTCCTCCTCCCACTGGTCGATAGTAAGCTCAACTTTCTCAAACCGGGACTCGTCCGACAACAGGGATTCTGCCTTCTCCAGGTAAGTGGTCATTTTCATTGCTACAAATTTGTTGCTTTTATCAGATTTTTTTATGATGACCGACTCGTCCTTGCCGACCTTCATGAGCTGCTCACGATCAGAGTGAGACAGGTTCGGCTGCGGCACTCGCGAGTTTTTGTACAGGGCCATTGCTTCGCGCTTGAAGCTCGCCAGGCTGTACTCTTCGTCCTTGGACAGTTTAGGGCCCTGCTGGAAACCATGTGCCTTCAGGTGCCAGATCTTGGGTTCAAATTTGGCGGGACCTCCGTCAGCCATAGATGGCTGCTGTTCCGAGGACTGCCTCCACCAGCGAAGAGAGTACGCCATTCTTTCGACGCCCACCTCGACGTCTTGCATAACTCTCTGGTTGGCTTTGCCAGCCGACGGAACAAAGCCCGGCCCGAGTCTAAGGAGGTCCAGCGCCTCACTCGACACACAGTTGTCTAAGTCAAGAGCACATCCAGAGCGGTCTTGCGTCGTGACATTGTTGCGGTGACCACCTGCAGGCAGCTGGCAATGGGGGAAGCCCACGAACGACTGCTGCTGGCATAGACGCTCTAGCTTAAGGGTGAGCCGTCGTCGGGAGGCAAGTCGTTCCGCATGACACACAGCATTGCACAAGGCACGTAGCCAAATATAGTCTTGCTTGGAGTACGAGCGCAGGTCGGCCCTCCGCGCCGTGAATAGTCCATAGCAGTGGGACTTCCACCGAAATTTGTCCTCGATGGCATCCCTCAGAAGGTTGCGAACATAGGCATCGCGACGGGTAGCTCTGGAAGGACGGGAACCTATAGGCTGGGGCACGCTGCGCTGAATAAAATATGGGACTAAATGTTTCCGCCGACATTGAAGCAGAAAATGCACCTGACAAAGACTCCGCTCTAGTTTCCATGCCCACTTCACGAACAACCAGGGCGTCTGAGTCCTTGAGGGGGAGAACCGTTTCAAAATTTTGAAGGACGCTTCACGCAGCTTCATTATACTTGAATTGTTTGCAGGCAACCTGCCTACACTCAAGAGAGCACTGCATTTCACACAAATCCATTGGTATCGTTACAACGTTTCGGTCTTTATGACCATCATCAGGAATGAAGTGGACATGGAAAGAACAGCAGTATAAAAGAAGGAGGCAAGCAAGCAAAGCGCGGTACATAGTGACAGCGCGCGTAGAGAAGTGCAAAGCACGTCATGGCGGGTGTGCATTACTTCATATACATGACAACACAAGCAC